GGGGGAGGGCAAAATCCCTCCCCCCACCCTGGGCCTTTTCTGTGGCTATGGACGCAGCTCTTCTTCCTGGCATGTTGGCCTTGGGCTGAATCCGCCCCCGGGCAGCCAAGCCCAGATGCCCGCTCTGACTGGCAGAGGCTCTGGAGGAGGCCGAAAAGAGGGCGGACCCCTTGGGGCCCCGAGCGGTGGGACTGCCCCATTCTGGGAAGAAGAGCTGGAGCCCGTTTGCTCACTTCAGCAGGTGCCAGTGCTGGACAGCTCCCGACGCCTGGGGAACGGGGGGGGGGGGGCCTGGGAACGCCCAGGAAGAGGCGGGCGCTGGATGGTGAGCCGTGGAGCCCCCAGGGAGGGACGAGTCAGGAGTGGAAGCAGGCAGGGGGACTCAAACTGCACCGAAGGCTCTAAAGTTAACCCGTTGGGTGGGGTCCTTGGTGCTCTCTGGGCTTGTTTTCTTGCAGACGTTTCATGACCCCAACTAGGTAACATCATCAGTGCTGGTCATCAGCGCTGGACCCTGCCCCCCCCTGCCCCCGCCCCGTCAGCCCTGGGCTACAAATATTCTCCTTTATTGTTAACCAGTTAAAATAAAAAAATCCCTGAGGGTTCAGTTTACTAGTTATGCTCCAAAGGCAACAATTTAATCTGCAGAATGGGCGGACAGACGGACTCTGTGTGTGTGTGTGAGAGAGAGAGAGAGAGAGAGAGAGAGAGATCAGCCAGGGGCCTTCTCAAGGACTTCAAAGAAACCTCCTGTGTACTGGAATGTCACCTGGTGTTGGGTGTGCATTTCTCCACCCCAGTCCCTCCCCACTTTTTTCTTTTAATACTTTAAAACATCTTTTTCTTCATGGGTTTTCCCAATTTGCATTTTCTTGAGCATGTTTGTTTTTATACAGATTTTGGATTTCAGAACAATTTTTCTGGGCCAGTTTTTGGTAATGGATTAATAATAACTCTTGGCCGGCATGGGGTCAGGTTTTGGCAACCGCTTCCTGTTTCGAGTATTTCTTCTACAAGTTCAAACTTGGGACCAGAACCCCCCCCCAACCTGAAACGGGCCTCCTGGGGCTGGAGAGGCCGTGGGATGGGGAGGAGGGCTGAAGACCCCCTGGGAGACTAGGGTGCCCTTCTTGGTGGAGGGTGGGAAGGAACCCCCTTTTATTTGGCCAGATCTTTGATCTACTATTGCCTTTTGTTAAAAATAAGGGATTTTTAAACAATTATCATAAAAAACGGTTCCCTGCCTGCCTGGTTTGTTAATTGTGTGTCGTTATTCGATACTGCGCTTTTAAAATTACAGTTGAAATCTGGTGGTTGGTCCTTGTTAGCTCCCGGGGAATGGTTGGTGGAGAACCCCCAAAATGAAAATATTGCTAAAAAGGAAGGATTTTCTTTCTTTCTCAGCCCTTCTCCTGAGTAATGAAAGGCAGAACCTGAGGGATCCCTGGAGTCTGGATCTGTCCAGGATCGGCCAAAGACTAGGGAGTTGGATAAAGTGGGCACTCCAGATCAGAGGAAAAACCATGTTAGAGTTGGCCAGGTTTCAGTCGGTTGGCAAACAGCTGGATAATTGGGGGCCGGGGCAGATCCTGGCTCTCCTCCCACATGGAAATGATACCCCTTTGTCAGAGGCCTATACCAAGGCCGGGCACGCAGCTCAGGGGGTGCCCTGGGCAAGCGGAGAAACCGCAGAGAACCCACCGAGGGCAGCTCAATTCACACAGCCGTGTTTTGCTCTTCCAGGCCAGCCCTTCCCCCATTATTGTGAACACGGACACCCTGGAGCCCAGCCTCTCCGTAAGTGTGCCTCCTCTGCCGGAGTCCCTGCCTTCCCCGGGGGGTCTTGCTCACCTCCAGGAAGCGGCCCTTCTTGGCTGCCCTTTGGGTGGACTCCGCTGTCTGGAGCCTCAGGTAGGGGGTGGGATTGACTGACAGGAGGGAGAAGCCTCTCCTCAAGTGGGCCTGCCGGTCCTTGGAGACAGTGACCTGAAGAGGCTCCCGCGGGAACACGCCGGTGGGCTGGGTTCCTGGCTCAGTTCCTGCCTGCCTAAACAATCTGCCCTTCTGTGCTCGTCCCTCGTCTGAGGGTTTGGCTTCCTCACCTTGATTCTGCGGGCTCCTTATCTCTGTGCAGCCAGCCTGCCTCCCTGGGCGTTTTGGACCCTAGCAAGGCCCCCAGTGAGGGCTGGGAGAGGTGTTTATGGCACCAGGAGCACCAGGAATAAGCAGCACCGGTGTGGCAGCGCCCTGACCTGGTTTCTGTCACCAGCACCTGCATCTGTGCAGAACCTGGTTTTAACTCCCCGCTAGTTCACGGTGATCCTCCAAGAGGATTCAGTGAGCAAAAGATCCCGAGGCCAGCAGCCTTTTCTCTTCCGCCCCCTCCTGCTTCATGGCCCGGAGCTGCCTGAGGCACATGAGACGTCCTCGGGGCCCCTGGGCTCGGTGTGCCGGGGGTGGGGGGTGCCCTTTATTTCTGAACTCCCCTCTCTCCCCAGGTGAATGGCAGCGACGGGATGTTCAAGTACGAGGAGATTGTCCTGGAGCGGGTGAGTCCAGCCTCCTTCCTCCCCAGCCACCCAAGCCCACCACCTCCATCCCTGGGGCATGCGGGGAGGGGGGGGGGTCCTTTTCTGCAGGGCTGTCCAGAGATGGAGCTGGCTGGGCAGAGCCGAGGCTGGGAGATCCGGCTTGGCCTGCCCCAAGCCTTCCCTTGCCAGAGGGCTGCCCTTCCTTGACCCTCCCCCACCGGGCTCTCTGCTTCCTCTTCGGTTCCCTGCTCTTCGCTGGGGGGGGGACGGGGGGGACAGGTGTTCATATCGGGTCTCTTGGCAGGGAAACTCCGGCCTCGGCTTCAGCATTGCTGGTGGCACTGATAACCCCCACATCCCCGACGACCCCGGCATTTTCATCACCAAGATCATCCCCGGTGGGGCGGCTGCCATGGACGGGCGCCTGGGGTGAGTGTCGAGGGGCGCAGAGGCCGGACGGGGAATGTGCGATGAGGAGGAGCAGGAGGGCGGGGGGTCTTGCCCAGATGGGCGGGGGGGGCGGCCCTTCCTCCCTCACCCTCTGCTCCACGGCGCAGGGTCAACGACTGCGTCCTGAGGGTCAACGAGGTGGACGTCTCAGAGGTGGTGCACAGCAAGGCGGTGGAGGCACTGAAGGAGGCGGGGCCGGTGGTGAGGCTGCTGGTCAGGCGGAGGCAGCCCCCACCAGAGACCATCATGGAGGTCAACCTGATGAAGGGACCCAAAGGTGAGGGGCTGGGGCGGGGGTCCCGGGGGGGGCAGCTGCCGCTCGATCTGACATCCAGAGCACCTCAGTTGGGGTCTCACCAAACGGGGCCGGGTGGGACAGTCCAGCGCTGTTGGGCACCGCAAGTGCTGCTGCTGCTGGCTGGGAAAGGGGGCTTGGCCTGGTCACAAGCCCCCTACCCAGGAGAGCCTGCTGCCTGGAGGGGCACGGCTGACTCCAGCTGTGGGAGGAGGAGGAGCATCCCACAGCCCTGCAGTTCTCCCCCCCCCCCCAGTTCTTGCGGGAGTCTGGCCTCCCCCCCCTCAGGGAGAGACCCCCGCCGCGCGCCCCCCCCCCGCCCGGGTCATCCTTCCTCTGGCCATTTGCAGGGGGACAGTTCCTCCTGCCCTCTTGCCTCCCCCTCCTTGAGCAGCTGGCACTGCCACTCTCGGCCGTCCGTCCTTGGGCAACGGCCGAGAGCGTCAGAGTAGGCCGGAGGAAAGGGGGGCGCCCCCCACCCCCCACCCATGCAGGGCTGCCTCTTCCAGGGCTGGGCTTCAGCATCGCGGGGGGCATCGGGAACCAGCACATCCCAGGCGACAACAGCATCTACATCACCAAGATCATTGAAGGGGGCGCAGCCCAGAAGGACGGGCGGCTGCAGATCGGGGACCGGCTGCTTGCGGTGAGTGCCCAGCGCTGCTTCCCACGCCGTGGTGGTCGAAGCAGGTCTTCCTGTTCCTTCTGGATATGGCACCACCCAGAAATCCAGGCCCAACCCACCTGCGGGTCAATGGGCTGGTTGCCGTTGCCAGGCATGGACCCTCCATATCCAGAGGCAGTCTATCTTGCTGGGGTGTAAGCTGGGGAGGCTCTTGCCTTTCAGAGAGGGCTGGAGCCGGGCGGGTGGGCTTTAGAGCCCCCTGGGATCCCTCTTGCTCTGCTCGGGCACTCAGAGCTCACCTGGGGGCTGCTTTTTTCCCCTCCCCCCCTCCCCCAGGTGAACAACACCAACCTGCAGGAGGTGCGGCATGAAGAGGCGGTGGCTGCTCTCAAGAACACCTCCGACATGGTGTACCTGAAGGTGGCCAAGCCAGGCAGCTCCCACATCAATGACCTGTATGCGCCCCCAGACTACGCCAGCAGTATGTTCCTGCCCCCCTCCAGCTCGGGAGGGGCCCCCAGCTCGGCAGAGGGGAGGAGGGTCCAGCCGAGGGGGGAGGCCGCCCCAGAGCAGTGGGGGCTAAGCCTGGTCTCTCTCCCGCCCTTTGTCTCCCTAGCATTTTCTGCCTTGGCCGACAACCACATAAGCCATAATCCTGGCCTAGGCTATCTTGGAGGCCTGGAGAGCAAGCCAGCTTACCCTGCTCCCCCCCAGGTCACGCCTGCCCGCTACTCCCCTGTGCCCCGCCACCTGATTGGAGAGGAGGACTTCACCAGGTGAGCAGCGGCGGCCCTGCTGGGTCCCACAGCACATAAGGCCGGGGAGGGGCTGTCTGTCTCCCCCCAGGGCCCCCCAGAGAGGGCGGGCACTCCAGCCCAGGAGGCAGGAGGGGACAAACCTTCCCCAAAGCCGAAAGCCCAACGGAGGATCTTGCTGGTTGCGTTTCGAAGCCGCCCCCTCCGTGCTCCCCCACCTTCTCTGGCTGCTCTTGGGGTCCTTCTGGTCTGGCTCTGGCAGCCCGCAGCAGGCAGGGAGCCCACTGACACCACTGGAGCGTCGGGGGGGGGGAGGGCTGGAGGGGCAGATCTGGGGAGGATGTTAGCCTTTGAACACGTGGCCCGGCCCTTCCTGTGCTGGAGTTGGGCGAGGTGAGGGCTCTGGGCAAAGGAGAGGGCATAGGCTGGCATGGGAGGGGCTTGGAAGGGCTTCCAGCGGGCACCCAACCCCTGGCAGTGCTGGCTGGTGACCACACGAGGGCGCTCACCAGACTGAGGCAGAGGAAGGCTGGCAGCCGATGCCCTGATCCGAAAGTCCTGCTGGAGGGGGCAGAAAGAGAGTCCATCTCAGGGGGCTGCCCCAATGCCCAGCAGGCTGCGATGTATAGGCGAAGGGCGGGTGGGCACATGAAGCCGCCTGGCCAGGACCCTGCCAGCCTTGAGTGCCCCAACCCTGCTACCAAGAGCCTCTGCCCCGCCCCCCCCCCCCCCGCAAGGCTCTGGGCCCTCTCGGGCAGCCTGTCTTCTGCAGAGCTGGCTGTGCAGGCTGAGCCCTCCCCCTCCTGCCTAATGGGTGCCCAGAGGGAGGGAAGGGTTAAGGCCAGTGGCAGCTTCCTGGGCAGCGGCTGCATCTGGATCCTCTCAAGGGTCTGACAGCTCCTGGCTGCTGGGGGGGAGGGGAAGGCGGAGCTGGGCAGATAAAAGGCAGGCGGCTTGGCCCCCGCCCCACAGACGCAGCCACCATGATCACAGTCAACGTCTCCTCCTCCATGTCCTGCGGGAGGCAGCCCCCCCCACTGCACCCGGCCAGCCTGCACCGGAGGGGGACTCGGTATTGTTCCCCCCCCCCCGCATTTGTGCTTTCAGTTGGGGGAGGGGGGCGTCTTGCAAGGCTTGTCGTGGCCTTCTGGGTCTGAGTGGGCAGGGAAGGCTCTCCTTGGCTTGATTCCATCCTGCCTGGGAGGGATGTCCAGATTCCCCCCCCCCCAGCTAATTGGCATGCAAGGTGGGGGGGGTCGGGAGGGGGTGGGCATCCTGGAGAGGAGGAAACGGGGTGGCTACTGGTGGTTAGGAGCCAGGAGAAGCTGGGGGGGGGGAATGTTGGGGCTCCGAGAGGAGCTGACCCTCCCCAATTCTCCCCCCCCCATGCCCACCAAAGAGCCACCCAAAAGCTCCCTTTGGCCAGAATGTGGGGTCCAGTTCAGCCGTGGACTGAACGTTGGAGTGCAGCTGATCCTTTTAGGGGGGGCTGATAGACACCCACCCTCTTGGGATCCGGCCCCAGCTGCTCCTGCCCCGCAACCCTAACGGCCGCCCCTCTCCCCTTCCTCCTGCCAGGGAGCCCCGGAAGATCTCTCTGCACAAGGGCTCCAGTGGGCTGGGCTTCAACATTGTCGGGGGCGAGGATGGGGAGGGCATCTTCGTCTCCTTCATCCTGGCCGGGGGACCAGCCGACCTGAGTGGGGAGCTGCGGCGTGGCGATCGGATCCTGTCGGTGAGTGCAATGGGGGCCTTCTTCCCGGGGGGGGGGGGGAGGGGGGGAAGATGGGGCTTTTGCCCCGAGGTCTCCTTGCTCCTCTGGCCCTTCTGCCCAGCCATGAAGGGGTTAACCCGCTGGCCCACGCAGGGCAGGGCTAGGCAGGGCAGGGCAGAGCACCTCACCCAACCGGTCCGGCCTGGCTGAGCCCAGCCCCATTGCCAGGAAGCTGGCTCCTCTTGGCCAGGGGGAAACGGTGTCGACGCTTCCTCCCGCACAGATGGATCCCAGCACCTGTGGCAGGCGGGTGAATCCCGGTCCCCGCCAAGCAGGCTGCCCTCCCACGTTCCAGAGGGCTGCTTTTCCCCAGGTCAGGCCCAGGCTGTATGCCACAGCTCAGGGCCTGGCATAGAGTGCCCGGCTGGAGGCTTTGGGAGGGGGGCACAGGCAGGGCCGCTGCCAGGTGTCCAGCTCTGCCTCCCTGCTGACGGGCGGGTCTGTTTGCCAGGTGAACGGTGTCAACCTCCGGAATGCCACGCATGAACAAGCGGCAGCAGCCCTGAAGAGGGCTGGACAGACTGTCACCATCGTGGCCCAGTACAGGCCGGAAGGTAAGAACCCGGCGGCTTTGGGGCGGGCCTCCCAGGGGGGCAGGCTAGCAGCAGGACCGAGGCAGCACGATGGGCCAACTGGGTGGCAGGGCACCCCGGCTGTCCCGCATGGCGCCTGGCTTCAGCCCCTCTGCCCGGTCCCTTTCGCTCGGGGGGGTCATGCAGAGCCACCTGAGCTGGGCCTGGGGGGGGTCCTCCCCGGTGCAGCTTTGCTTGTGGGCTCCAGAGGCGCCTGCTGGTGCTGCCCTTGCGGGGCCTTTGCCCAAGGTGGCCCGTCCCCGGGGCAGGGAAAGCAGCGGGGCGGTGGGGTGGGGGGCGCCAGGCAGAATGCCCCTCTGGCCACCCAGAGCTGCAGTCTCGAGGGGCTTCCTCCTGCCAGCCGGGGACCAGGAGCCCTGCCGGTGGAATGGAGCCAGGGGGCCTCCTGGGACATCCGCAAGGCCGGCAGAGCAAGCTGTCGGCGGCTTGAGGCGGTATTCCCGCTTACGAGGCTCTTTTCCCGCTGCCCATTCCTGCAGGTCGTGTGCACGGGTTAACACGCGTCGGGGCTGGGCAGCGAGAGCGGGCGTAGGCGGGGCTTTGTATGCAAACGAGATGTCTGGCTGGGGTTACCCGGGGATGATCGGCGCGTAGCGATGGGGCAGCGCGGCCGCCGATTGGCCGAGTAGGACGCTGTCGTAGAAACGGTGGGCGGGTCTGGAGGACGTTGGGTACAAACAGCGGGGCGAGGCCTGCGCATGGGGGGGGTAAGACGTGGAGCTTCGAAGCGCAGCGGCGATTGGGCCGATTCGGAGCGTGGGGGCGGGACGTTTATGAGTTCGGGCGGCGATTGGACGGGCGGGAGGAGAGGGTCGGCAGTGCGAAATCCGGTTGGGCGCCGAGGGTGGAGCGAAGCGCCGATTGGCCGGAGCCCGGCGCGGGGCCGCGCCTCCACCTTCCCGCCCGGGCGACCGGCCGGCCGGGCTTTGTGTGCAGACGGGGAGGCGGGGCGGCCGGCGGGAGCGCGGGCGGCGGCGGGCAGGTGAGCGGGCGCCGGGCCGGGAAGCCTCGCGGGGAGCCGCGGCTCTGCCCCGGCGCACGGGGGTGGGGGTGGGGGTTGAACCGGGCGGGAGCCTCTTCCTCTCGCGAGACCCTCCGGATCGCCCCCCCCTTTGCCCCCGGGGCGCCTCCTGCGAGGGGCGGGGCGGGGGAGTCTCGCGCGCCCCTTCCCGGGGGGGGGGGGGGTCGCGGGGCTTGGCGGGCAGACCGTTGGGGGCCGCCCGAGAGGGATCCCCGGAGGCGGCGGGGGGCGCTGGAGCCGAGCGGGGCCTCCTCCGCTCCCCGCCGCTCGCCTCCTGCGGGGCCGCCCCCCGGGGCAGGAGGGGCCCTTCGGGGCGGAGGGGCGCTGCCTGGCTTGGTCGCTGCCCAGAAGCCTCCGGGGCTCCTGCAGCGGGGGAGCCCGCCCGGCCCCCTCCTTTCCCCGGCTGAAGCCTGGCGATCTTTTAGGGCAGGCCTCCGCGACCGTGGCCCCTTTAAGCCTGGAGGACTCCGACTCCCAGAATTCCCCGGCCAGCTTTGCTTTGACCCGGGGCTGGGGAATTCTGGGAGTCGGAGTCCTCCAGGCTTAAAGGGGCCACAGTTGGAGAAGCCTCTTTTAGCCAGTAGTTTGATTCGCCTTCTTCCTTCAGCCAGCCCAGGCAGGAGACACAAGAGTTGCGTTGCACACCACAGGGCAACCCAACACAACAGGGAGCAAGGAAAAGCTCTGCAAGTGACCCCTGCAAGCGTGGCCACTTTTCAAATTCCGTGGGAGATTTGTGAATGATCCGGTTTTTATTTAGCCTCCGCTGAATGTATGTGAGTCTCTACAGAGCAGACAGCTGGGCTTGGAGGGAGACTCCGAGATATTAGTTGCTGGCCTGGGATAACCACGATCGTAAAACTTTGCTGCATTTTGAGCCTTGTGGCTGAAGTAGCTCTTGCTTGATCCGACTGAATCTTGCACATATTTCAGAAAGGACCAGCGTGGAAACTGGCAGATCACCTTCTTCTGCTTCCGGAGTGAATAGTCTGGGCTCTTGACAGTTTGCCTGACACTTTGTTCTTTGTCCCTGAGAGAGGATGTCTTGGGTGCAGGAAATTCTTGCTTGGTTTGGCTTACTTTTTCTCTCCGACTCGCTGCCGGGTGGAACTTGCAGTGCTGGTAGCTGTAAAGCGGAAGAGAGGATCAATCCTGATAACCAGAATGAGCTGAGTTAACCAATGTGGTTAATGTGGGATTGTCATTGGGTTCCTGCCTGTCATGAGGCTTGGTCTGCTCTGGCACTTCTAGGGTAGATACTAGCTGGGTTTCACTTAGAAACATCTGTAAACGTGTGGAAGATGATCGGTGTCATTGTACAGTTGTGGGAGATGACGTGTAAATAATAGTCTCGTGAGTTTAAAGTCCCGAGGGGTAAAGTTGAGGCCCTGAAAATCCACAAAGCACCCTGGGGCGATATAAGTAAAGACACCTTTGAATTTCAGAAATGGGAAACACGTTTAATTTTGTGGATGCAGAGTAGAGTCACGCCTGGCCCAAAATAAGCGGCAGTGTTAGCCCTCTGCTTCTTTTCTCATATAGACCTTGCCTTGAAACTGTTCAGTAGCTAGGATTTATTTATTTGGAAAGCATTCAGACGTCTACCAGTGAAACTGTTTCCCTGACTATACGTTTAAAATGTAATCAAGGTGAGAAGCATCGCTAGGGAGAAACAGAAGTACCAACGCAATCTCTAAGAATATTTAAGGAACACACACACACACACACACACACACACACACACACACAGAGTGTTGAATCGCTGGATCCCAGGAAAGCTTCCTGAGAATGCTAAGGGCCCAGATATCAGCGCAGGAGCAACCAGCGGTTACTTGCTCTCAACAAGCCAGGTTCTCTGTCTCTCCTCAGCTGAATTGGGGTGTGTGTGTGTGTGTGAGAGAGATCCTTTTGCCTGCTCTGCCCAAGGAAGTTGGAGTAGGAAAAGAGGTGGCAGCTGCTGTTGGGATCCTATCTTAGCAGCTTCCCAGAGACGGGGGGGGGGGGGAAGGGGGGGCGGGGACACATGTATTAGTTCAAGATGATTTTCCGTGGTCTGACCTGTTGGACAGCTTCCTGTACTTAATCCAAGGGAGATACGGGCTGTTTCCCCACGTGATCTGCCCCCCCCCCAAGTTTTTCATGCAGAGCTGAAAGCGCCTTCTGCTCCCAGAGCATTTCCTGGCCTGGTTTCCTTGTCCATCTTGCTGGTGCTTTCTCCCCCTCCCGACTGCTCCTCCTCCGTGTTGCTGTCAGGAGAGGCTGATCAGGGCACGCTGCCCTCTGCCCCGGGCGCTGGAAGCGGAGCCCTCCTTGCCCCAAGCAGCAGGGCAGACAGAGCCTTTCTGTGCGTCCCTCTGAGCCGAGCGTGGAAGGAAACAGCCCGAGAGGCTCTCGGCCGAGCTCTGGGAAGAGCTGCTCCCAGCCTGTTTGGAGCCTTTGTCCTGAAATCTGCCCAGCCTTGACCGGCCTTTGCGAGGGGAGTTCGGGCCTGCTCTTGGCCTCTTGGTCCAGGGGCTTCTGCCGGCGAGAGTCGTGGGCTGATTGAATGTGAGATCAGACACACACAAGTCCCCCCCGCCCTTGGCAAAAAAGAGACAGTTTTGCCACGTAAATGTTGGGTGTCAGTGGATCTGACGGGAGCGCCAGGAGTGAGGCAGAGCCAGAGAGCACCTGGCTCTGGGACTTCAGGTGCGGGGGGGGGGGGGCAGGATGCTACCCAGGAGCCCCTCTGTCCCGTTTCACCCTCTGTAGATGGAGAAGAGCCTCTTATTTTAATCCATTTATACTTCGCCATTCGGGTCGTGGCTTTGCTGTTTCAAGGCAGCCTGAGGAGGAGACGGGACCTGCCGCTTTGCCCCTCCGCAGCCCCAGCCTTGAAGGCAACGACCACAAGCCCGCTCCCGTGAGAGGGAGGCTCCGAAGGCTGCGCGCTCTGGGGGAGAAGGTGGCTCAGGAGCACAAGTGAGGTTAGGGCGTTTCCATGCTCTGAGCGTTCACAGACTCCTGCACAATTGGTCAAGCCGCATATGTGCCCGCAGCATGGCGCATGTTAAACGATTTTTAAATCCATTGTCCCTGAAGCTGAGTTAGGCCACTCACGTTATTTCTGCATTCTGTATTGACACTTTGGAAAACGGGGTCAGTATTGGTCCCAGCTTGGCTGCCGCCAGGGCGGGAAATCCACAGGCTGATCCATATCAGTGCTCGGTGGGGGGTCGAGTCCTTGCCAACTGAGCAGCTCCCAGAATAAAGCAAAAACGTAGCACTGGGTGATTTTTCTACGCCTGCAGGGCTGATGGGGCCACAAGGAGAGTGGGAGGAAGGAAGGGTTTCCTGGCAGAAACGGAGCGTATAAGAAAGCGATCAAGAAAAATCAGACTGGAGCCTGTGGACAAAGAACCGCAACAAATGATAAAAACTACTTTCAACGTCATAATAAGACCAATAAGACCAAGGAGCTGATAGTGGACTATAGAAGGAACAGATCAAACATCACGATGGTCATGATGTGGCCTGAAGAGGGTGTTTGATTTCGTTGTATGAGGTGCAATGACAATAAAGTAAAGTAAACTAATAAAATACACTCTAAAATGAATATCTAGGGTTGAAGGAATTGAAATCAGGCTATCTGTATGAATAAATTGACATTTGGAACGATCAACAATGCTTCACACTTGGGGCTTTGCTTTTTTTAACTTCCACGTTTTTTAGGTTTCAGGGCTTCCAAGTTTCTCGGCAATGCAGGTAGAGGCCAAAAAGGAAGGATTAGATAAAAGTTCCCCTGCTTTTGTCTTTAGCTGCTGAGTTTAGAGAAAGCACGTTCAGCATGTCTGGTTGAAACTTCCAGCAGAGACGATGTGTTTCATTTTGCTATCAAAGTTTAATGCTGAATTGGGGTTCCATGAATGATGATGATGATGATATGAATTCCGGGAGGTGACTAAGATGTTTCTCTGCTGTTGGAGCAGAATTACTGTTGTTGTAAGAAACTCTCAACGGTGGCCTTGTGGAAAGTCCCTTGTTCTTGGGGACTTGATTTTCTAAGGTCTTCTGCACATTGAACTTATTAAACTGTAAACTCTCAAAACGACCCGCCTCTACCTTATGCAAGCTCCTGTGTAAGAACAATGTTTAACCATAAGCCAGTATATATCCTACATGAAGATGCGCTATGGAAAAGGCATAATAACCTTGAAGTAAATGGTAAACCCAAGGCTGTGTTTATATAACCCCTTGCTTGCACAATCTGAATGCTCACAATTGCAGTGCTTGGAAGGTGGATAGAGAACCATCGGTGCATGCTTGTCAATGCCTTCAGGAATATTTTCAAACCTGTCCAAACGCTTCTGGCATCAAAGCCCAAGTCTGTTAATTTTCCTGCAATCTTATCTCCCACAAGAGCCGGAGGCCGGTAATGGATTTTTGAACTGCTGTTTGTTATTGTGCCAACACTCTTAAAACACGGCCGCCTCTTTAGCCATTGAAGTAGTTGTGGTAATAGGTGCTAGATGTTTTTATTGTCAATCTGGGGAAGGGCTACTTGAGTATCCTCTGCCTCCTGTCAGGCACTTTGGTTGGTCCGTGCAGGTTCTGGGATTGGAGAAGAACAAACAATCTCCCGCCTGTCCTCTCCGTCCTTCCCCTGATGGGTCAAGGGCTCCTCCTGTGTTGGTGCGTCTTCTTGATGTCAGCCCAGCCTGTTCAAGAGATTTGATAAGCGGCCCCTTCCTCTACCCTTCCTCCTCCGGCAGCCTTTCTGAGAGGGAGGGAGGGAGGGACCTCAGCCATGACGATACTCTGAAGCGCAGAATGCTGGACACCAGCTGGCCGTCCCTGTTAGTTGCCATGTTAGCCTCTTTGTCGTGGCCCATTGAGCCATGACTTCCTCAAAGGCCAGCACCTGTATCCAGTTATGCAGCCTATCTGGCCCGGGACCTGGCAGGTAAATGGCGCACGGAGGGGGAGTTGCAGAGGTGAGGGCTTTGGCTGGCTGCTTCCTCGTTCCCCGGGTGTGAAACGCAGAGGTCCCACCAACACCCTGGGCTGGACTGTGCGACGGCTCCCAACCTTCCCTCCTTTGTGCTTGCAGAGTACAGCCGCTTTGAGTCCAAGATCCATGACCTCCGAGAGCAGATGATGAACAGCAGCATGAGTTCGGGCTCTGGCTCCCTTCGAACCAGTGAGAAGCGGTCCCTCTACGTCCGGTAAGCATCGTCGAAGGGCCCCTCCAGATTGACTCTCTTGTTACTCTGCCGCACTCAGGGTCATCTCGCCTTCTCTTCCCCCAGAAAAAGGGGGCCTCGTGGGGCCACTGGCCGGGAGTGCTGGAGCGCTAAAGCCCGGCTAGCAGCCCCCGTTGCTTTTTAAGTTGGGACAGCCAAGTTTAGCCCCTTTTCAGTCATCGCCCGTCTGGCCTCGGCCTGTGGCTCGGCCGCTTCCTGTCTCTGTGGCTTCCATGGGGAGCCCTGTCCTGAAGCGGCATGGCCTCCCTGCACCCACCAGAGCAAGGCATCGGACGTGGGACACCAGTAGCCTCCTTCGGCGGGGCACTCCTGGATAACTTGTGGTGCTCAGAGCCCACGCGGCCACGCACAGTTTAGCCCCACGTGTTGAGCAAACGCAGCCATGTGACCGGCTTTGGCGCTATGAATCCTGAAATCGAATTGGGAGAACCTGGATTCACTTAACCCTGGTTGAGCATGTTGGGCAAGGACGGCCCGGGGCTGGGGGAGGGTGAAGGGGCCGAGCCTCTTCTGCCAGGTACTCTTGAGCCTTCTCAGCGTAGGAAGGGAGGCAGAGCCTTTGGCTGGCTCTCTGGCCCTCGCCGGCTACTTCTCTCCGGGGCTTCGTGGAGGGATTCCGTGCCCGCAGGAGGAGGGGGCCAGCCAAGGAATCCGCCAGCGCTGGATCTGGACTCTAGCAGGCGGTTGGCTGTGCTGCTCCTAGTGGAGCCCCTCGGCCACCCCAGCCTTGGCTACTTACCACACAAGCCAACCCGGTGCCGTTTTTGGGGTCTGGCTGCTTTGCTGCTCCTTAGCTGGACTGGGGGTCCTCGCAAACGCCTCCCCAACCCAGCCACCGGGGTCCATTGAGCCCATCTTGCACAGCACGATTCTTGGCTGCTCCTGGGATCGAGGCAGCTCTCTGCAAAACCTCCCCTGCGCTGGGAGAGGAGGCTCAGCCCTGTTGGGTGGAGTAGTTTCGGGCACAATTGAGCTGAAACTGATGAAATGGACAAGCTGCCGGTTGTGCTAATTACAAGGCCGGCTAGGCCAGATGGGAAAGGCTGATCCAGCCCCAGACAAAACCTTCTCCCGCCTTTGTTTCCCCGGCAGGAAGTGAACCCTGCAAGGGGGCAGAGGCCCAGAACCCTCTCGCGCCCCCTGGTGGCAGCAAGAGGCGCTGGCAAAAAGCAAGCCGCCTAGTGAATAGAATAGAATAGAAGCTGGAAGGGACCTTGGAGGTCTTCTAGTCTACCCCCCTGCCCACTTATCTACCATTTTAGAGAAGTGACTGTCTGGTCTCTTCTTAAAAGCCTCCAGCGAGGGCTTTTTTTGCAAGGCCAGGGGTGGGGTATGTGCCTGGGGCAAAGGGTGGGGCCTTTCGGTGGGCAGGAGGCAGAGTCGCCAGGGGGGACCTGGATCCAGAGCGGGAGGCTAAGGCCAAAGGAAGGGGACCCTGAGGGAAGGGCAGGAGAACGTCCGCCTTGCATCCAGCAGAAGGTCCGAGGTCCAGGCGTCGCTGTGGGGAGCTTTGTGGACAGACAGTGGCCCTCCGTCCCTCCTGCTGACCTGCCTCCTTCCTGGACAGGGCCCTCTTTGACTACGACCGAACTCGGGACAGCTGCTTGCCCAGCCAGGGACTCAGTTTCTCTTACGGGGACATTTTGCACGTCATCAACGCCTCGGACGATGAGTGGTGGCAGGCGAGGCTGGTGACCCCTCACGGCGAGAGCGAGCAGATCGGAGTCATTCCCAGCAAGAAGAGGTGAGCCTGCCGCTGCCGCAGCCCTCGTGGCCGCGGTGGGTTTCCGCCGGACAGTGGCGTGGCTTCCCGTGGGAGGGGTTGTCAGGAAGAGCCGAAAGGGAGTTTGGGGTGGGGCGACCTGGGCCGGTGTTTTGCTTTCAAGCAGGAGGAATTTCCAGGAGGCAGAGGGGGTGGGGTGGGGTGGGGTGGGGGCTTTGGACTGTGGACCTTCCGTTTTACCCTGCACTGAAGGCCTGAGGAATTGGCCGTGCCAGTAACGTCTGCGAGGAAAGATCTCGGCGAGTGAGGCAGAGCGAGATCCAAGTCAGCCTTCAACCCCTTTCTTTTTCTTGAATGCTGTCAGGGTGGAAAAGAAGGAACGGGCGCGCTTGAAAACAGTGAAGTTCCACGCTCGGACAGGCATGATTGAATCCAACCGGGTAAGTGAGGCTGATGCTGTGCGTGTGTGTGTGTGTGTGTGTGTGTGAAGCAGGGAAGCGTTCTGAATGAAATCGGACTGGGGCGGCAAGCAGAGTTCCTGCAAGGTGCGCTGTGGCCGGTTGCTGCTCAGGTGACGGTTGAACGAAGGGTCTCAGTCTGCAGGAGGAGCCTCTCTCAAAGGCACACAGACACACAGACACACAGAGCTGCGGCATCCTCAGCCTTCCTCCAGCCAAGGCCCAGGATGGTTTCTCCAAGGTCGGCTCAAGGAGTTTGCTGAAGGCTGGGACGGGGGATTCCTCCGCAGACTGGTGGGGAGCTCCTCTCCTCCTTGTTGTGGCAATGAAAATGGTCAGTCATCTTCCGCCATCCCTCAAGATCACTTCCTCCACCCTTAATTTTCCTCTTGCATCCCATTTACATGTAATTTCCATGATTTCATTTGAGGGGCGGCTTCCCTGACATTGATCACCGTTGTCTGTTCATTTTAATTTTTCTTGCATGCTTTAAACTCCATTGTTTTTTGTCCTTTTTGTTTCTGTTCTTTTTGTTTCCTTCTGCACCCCCCCCGTTGCATCTTCCATCTTCTTCACAGTTGATCAAAACGAAACGTAAAAAGAGTTTCCGTCTCTCTCGAAAATTCCCCTTTTACAAGAGCAAAGAGAACTTGGCTCAGGAAAGCAGCGGACAGGAACGTAAGTAGCAGCTGCCCTGCTCGGATTCTCTCGGGGAGCCCCAGCAGCTGCCCCAGCCCTGCGAGGGGAAAGGGGCCCACGGCTTCCCCCCTCTGGGGGGGGCTGCCTGGCCCCAGACCCGGCGGCTTGGCGGAGCCTGAGAATGGTGTGGCCCTCAGTGGCTGGGAGCAGGTGCCGGGCCAAGCGGTTCTTCATCCGAGGTCGGAGGCAGCCAGGAAGGGCCGAGCCCTGGGTCCAGAGGAGACGCTGCGGGCTCCTCCCGGCTTCCTTGCTCGGCTTTGCCAGGCTCACTCAGGGCCTCTCGGACTTTGCTTGCGACGATGGGCCGAGCCTGGAGCACTTCACTCTTCCTGAGGGCCCATATTGCTCAGCGGTCTCCCGTAGCCTCACAAACGGCCCCCGCCGAATGTCTTCGGGGCAGAGCTTGGCCCCCGGATGGCAGCGGGCTCATCTAAGGCCTCAGCAGCAGGTCTCTCTCTCTCTCTTTCTCTCTCCTTTCCCTGCCCAATAACTTACGGGTATTACTTATGACGGCTGCACATGCCACCATTTCTGCAAAACGACTGGTGACGCCCTTACAAAAACAGCCGGTTTTGTGTGCTCGCTCTCCCTGGAGGGCGGCGTCCGGCTCTCGTGCCGTATTTGCAGAGCCAGCGGCCTCCTGCACCTGAAGCCCCAGTGCCCGCTAGTTGGTCTTCCGGGCCTCGTCTTTTTCCTCGGCTCCCAGCCGTCCGATCCCTTTCACTGGAGTTGCTGGGGTGGAATTCGGAGCTTCTCCTTGCTAAGCAGTGCCGGGTTGCAAAGCTACGCTCCTCTCCTAGCGTTGGCCAGAAAAGCAGTCCAGGATTAGGATGTGAGAAGGGGCAACTCCTCTACACGGTTACCTGACTACCAGGTGCTGCAAGACCCCGGCAGGGGCTGAGGCTCTGTGAAGAGGGGACCACAGTCAGAGCCAAGAATAACTCAGCCCAGACTCTTGGGGGCCAGGCGGTTCTGAGCACCGTCCTGCCTTTGCGTTGTGCTCTGGGTTAGGGCAGTTGCAGGCGAGTCGTTCCAGGGAGGTGAGCGCCTACCAGCGGTCTGGATAAATGAAGGCTCGGCTCCTGTGGCTGTGGGACCTGGGACTGGCTGAGAGGAGCAGCGGGCGGCCATTTGGGGGCAGGGGTGACCCTTGGGCTTTGGTTGCTGAGGTCTGCCCTGCTCTGTACGGGTGACCTCCCCCCAGTAGCCCCGGCCGGGGTGGCTGGTCCCGGAACAAGGGACTCGGCCTGGTGCTGCCAAACCTGGTTAGCCTGGTACCAAGAGGCCAGGAGGTTTGGGCCTGCTCCTCGCCAGGCACTTGGGGAGGCCTGCCTGGGTGCCGGGGCTTCTTTGGCCCGCCTCACATCCTAGAGACGATGCTCAAATGAAGAGGTTTTGGGACAGCGGATATTTGGAAGCGTTGGTCACGAGCTTTAACTTCACTTGCTGTTGCAGCTTTCAGCCATTCTGCACTCCTGTCACTAATGCCGTCCTGGCCCTGTCTCTCTCTCTCTCTCTCTCTCTCTCCTCTCTTCCCCTCTTTCTCTTTCCTTCTCTCGTTCTTTTCTCCCCCCCCCCCCCCATTCCTCTCCCCTCTGTCTGGCTGTGAATCAGGACTTCCCTGGGTTAAGTGACGATTATTATGGCGCAAAGAACCTGAGTAAGTGGAACTTCCCGGCACACCATCCCTTTCCGTTGCTAGCATGCCTGAGACCGGAAGGGGGTTGATGGGACACTTGGCGTAGGTTCGGCCCCTGTGAGCCCAGCCTCCTCGTGGTCACTAGGCTGGCCGTCTCCGTCCAGAGAAGAGACCCCTTTCGGCAGGGGCTGATGGGTCTTGGCAGCCTCTTCCTGGGAAGGGCTCCCCAGCAGTGCAGTGAGTTGGCCAGGAGAAAGGCCGGCATCGCCTCGAGGCCCTCTTGCAGCCAGGGGCCAGCCAAGGAAAGAAATCTGCCCCCTGATGAGCTCGTTGAACTTTGCCACGTTGTCACACAGTGTATGTGTGTGTGTGGACTCCTTTTCTCCCCTGCTGTCGCAATGGGCGCACCTCAGTTGGTCAGCCCTGCGGTTTCTTTCCTGCCGTCCGTTTGCTCACCGATCCCTCCCCTCCTCTCTTCCCTTCTCTGTCGCTTCAGAGGCAGGGGTGTGCTCTGGGGGGGGCGGGGGGGGGGCAAAGGGGACCTGGCTAGGAACAGGGCTGCATGGCTGTGCTTCAACCCTGCGTGTGCCTGAGCTGCTGCTCCGGGGCGCCTGCTGCAGAAGGTGGCGGAGGGAGGGAGGTGGCAGCAGCACCTGCTGCCGTCCTCATTTGGGCAAGCGGCCCCCCACCCAAGTGGAGCGGATCAGCTGGGCTCCCCTCCAAGAGGGGCCGGGGAGGTTGAGCGCTTGCCCTCGGACCCCTCCCCCCGCCGTCCCCAGTGCCGGTGGCCCTCCGCCCCTGCTGGCATCCCCTGCTGTCAATCTGTATTAAACCTGGGCCTCTTTCTTGGTTGCAGAGGGAGTGACCTCAAACACCAGTGACAGCGAGAGCAGTTCCAGTAAGTGTCCCCTGTTTGTTCCAGCCTGACTTGCCTTCCGGCTTCATCCCAGTGCTGGGGGGTGGGGGGGGGGGGGGGGGGGGGGTCAGAGCTGCCCGAGTCTCCGTCTCTTCTGAGGGCCGGTGGCTCTTTTTGGTTGGGACTGGAGCAGAGCCTAAGTCAGTCGGCCAGGCAGAACAGGCCGGTTTCAGGTAGCAGAGACAAGGGCCTGCACAGGGTCCCCTTTCCCTTAGACCTTTACTCACCCCGGTGACCCGTGCGAGGAGGCCAAAGGGCAGGCAAGGGGCGTTGGTCCTCTTTCCTTTGGGGCAGAAGCTGCCAATGTCTGCCTGTCTGCCTGTCATTTGATCCGATCTACCATCTGGGGAAGAAAGGTGCTGAACGAGACCCCTTGGTGTCCCTCATCTTTAGGCCAGGCTGGCTGGGCTGCTGTAAACGGGGCTTCCCTGGGAGTCGGTTCCCCAAAGATTTTGCTGAGTGGGAAGTAGGCCTCCCGGGCGGGGGGCGGGGGGGGACCTTTGCTTCTTTCTCCCTGACTGCCAAGGCAAAGTGAAAACGTCAGGGAGGTGGAAGGCCTTAGAAATGGATAGCGTTGCCAGTTTGGCCGTGAGGTGTGGAGTTGTTGCTGCTGCGAGGCCGGCTGATTCTTTCCAATTCTTTCAGAAGGACAAGAGGACACGATTCTCTCCTACGAACCTGTGACAAGGCAGGAAAGTAAGTTGGAAAAAAGGCGGATCCACCGTCTTCTTCCTGGAGGGCAGCTCAGCCCTGAGATTTCTGCATTTAGCTTTGAACTTCACAGCTGAGCAGAGACTCCAAAACTTCTCCTTCCCTTTTGGACTGTCTGTCTAGTTCACTACGCCAGGCCAGTGATTGTTTTGGGGCCCATGAAGGACCGAGTCAACGATGACCTCATCTCAGAATTCCCACACAAGTTTGGATCCTGTGTGCCCCGTAAGTGATGGCTCCCTTGTATTTTGGGGGGAGGGAGATTTAAGGGACACCGAACGTCTTCCGAAGTGATGCTTTAGGCCCTGGGCTCCGGATGGTTGTGTGGGAAGAGAGTTGAGTGTTCACATCAATCAGATAGTCTTTTTTTTTTTTTTTTGGCAGCAAAGGTCAAGGTCATGAGGGCCCCGCCTTGGCCCCACTTCCTGAACCACAGAAAAAGCCAATGTATTTTCTTTCAGACACTACCAGGCCACGGCGTGAAAATGAAGTGGACGGTCAAGATTACCACTTTGTGGCCTCACGGGAGCAGATGGAGAAGGACATTCAGGACAGCAAATTTATCGAAGCTGGGCAGTTCAACGACAATCTCTACGGGACCAGTGTCCAGTCGGTGCGGGCGGTGGCTGAGCGGGTGAGTCCGGCAGCCTGGACTTTGCCATCCTTGGTCAAAATGCCGCTGGGCCAAGCGGCACCATTCGGTTCATGAATGACCTGCATTGCATCCGCCCTCGAACCAGCAGCAGATTCTGGTCCTGGCTTGGCTGTGCCGGGTTTCAGGTCAGCTTGTTTCGGAGCTCCTGTTTCAGGCAGGAGTTGATGCATCTGCGCTGAGGGCCTTAAATCACGGCCTCTTTTAAGCTCCAAGATAACCGGAAATTAACTTGCCAGCCAGTAAAGTCTGATGGCGTCTCAGCTGCTTTGGGTTGTGGTCCCGCTGATGAGTTTGGGGTGGGGGCAAAGCGAGGGCTTGAAAGTGCTGTGCAAAGGCTGTGCGGTAACGGGTGCCCCGCCCTCCTCCAGGGGAAGCACTGTATCCTGGACGTGTCGGGCAATGCGATCAAAAGATTGCAGCAAGCACAGCTGTATCCAGTGGCGATTTTCATCAAGCCCAAGACCATCGAAGCGCTCATGTGAGTATCGCGGAGGTTTAGCAGTTGGGTTGCTTTTATGTATTCGTCAAGTGTAGGCCCCACCCGTCTCACAGTCTCTGGGTGGCTTGTTAGCCAAAACATGGGTTCGCTTACCCAGATGCCCCCTTTGGGGGCCGTGAACCCGGGGTAGAGCAAAACCCGTTGGAAGAGGAGGCCCGGGGGTGCAGCGGCTGCCGGGCGGAGGGGCTGCGTTTTCAGTGAGACCTCTCTGGAGGGGAGGTTGAGGGATGGGGACGGGGGAGGCGGGTGTTGGGCAGCTCTTGCCCAATGGACCACAGTTGGGTCAGGAATGGGCTTTTCGCCCACTCAGTGCACCCAACTCTCCCTCCCGGCTTTTGGGTGGACAGGACGGTTACTTGGCTGCAGGTGGATTTAAAATCTACTTTGGGATGCCTTTCCCTGCACTCGGTTCCAGGGATTGGCCGTCTTGGTTTCTCTGTAGCCTCCACACCATCCGTGGGCTGTGAACTTGCTCCCAGGGCCGCAGCCCTCCTGCCTTCCCTCCACCTGTCCCTTCAGGTGGAGTTGAGGTGTCAACATGCCCCAACGACCCAGGAGCCCCTCAGAGAGCTGAGGAAAAGTTAGATTTCGGACGGTGGCCGAGGCAGGAGAGCTCCGGTCGGGACAGAGGCTTTTGTCCTGAGGCTTTGTCTGTTTCCTCCCCCTGGGCCTGCAGGGAGATGAACCGGAGGCAGACGTACGAGCAGGCCAACAAGGTCTTCGACAAAGCCATGAAGTTGGAGCAGGAGTTTGGAGAGTACTTTACAGGTGAGAGTTCTCGTGGGTTCTCGTGAGCTCCGTGGAATTGGGAGGAGTGTGCAAGACGGGTTTTCACATAAACAAAAAAGGGGCGATAATGCAAGGTGGGTTTAGTTGCTTGCAGCTTCTAAGGGGGTGGTGGGGGAGGCAAGAGGCCCCTTCCTGTCTAGTCAAGCTCTTCTCTTTTACTTCCGTAGCCATTGTACAAGGAGACTCCCTGGAAGAGATTTACAGTAAAATCAAACAGATAATCGAGGACCAGTCTGGGCATTATATCTGGATCCCGTCCTCTGAGAAACTGTGATGTCCCCCTCCTGTCAATCAACCCGTTAGAAGATCAGCGACCCTTCCCCCGCCCTCTGCCCCGGAGCGGGGAGGGGGAAAGCTCCCCGCCCCTTTTCTAGGTGGTTGACAATTGCGTTTTCTAGTCCCGTTTTTCTTTTCCTTGGGATGGACCGGTCTCCTTCATCAAGTGACTGTCCCCACCATTCCTGCATGGACTATCCTGCTGCTCCCCTAGAAACGGAGACAAACCCCATTTGAGAGTTTTTTCTGTGCTTTTAACTAAGAAAATACATCAACTGTTGAAATCAGAAAGCGAGAGGCAGGAGGTGGCGGCCGTGGACAACTAGCCTCAGGAGCCACCGATGCGACACGTGGACAGTTCCTGCCCCTCTAAGTGGAAGGGAGACTGGCAGCCTGTCCACTTTACCAAGAGGAAAAGGCAACCGAATGCTTTTATTTATCTAGATATGTAATTTTATATATATAATATATGCTCTAAATATATACATATATATGACTAGAGAATGTTCTGAATATAGTCATATATATATATATATATATGTACACATACACACACGCACACACGAGACTAGAGAAGACGAGGGGGCTGCTGGAATGTTCTTTGTTAGCAAAAGAATTGCCGCCTTGCCTCAGCCATGGGGACAGGAAACGCCGTGGAGGTGAAGTTCATGGTACGGAGCGTTTTGGGGTGCTGCTCTGTGGTTCTTCCAAAGCCGACTTCTGCATTTGGAAAGAGAGAAGCCAGCACTGGGATCACGGAGCAAACAGAGGGCCCGGAACCGCGTAACAAGCTACAACAATTTATTTGAGCACGCAAAAGCAAAAGGATAATGCTACATATTAACCGCACATTGTTTTATGTCACCTGATGTGTTTGCATGAGGTTTTTTTAAGCTGCTGTTAAACCAAAATCATGTTTGTGTTGGTGTGTTGGCTTTTCATTATTCCAAGCTTTTGATTTTAATAATGAACTGAACGGGTATACAATCCAGTTTTTTAACTTATTTTTTAAGATTGTTCCATTGTAAATAGTTTCCAGACCCAACCTACAGACCGTGCGGAATGAGCACAGAGGCTCTTCTGTGTTGCAGTCGGGTCACTTGGAGAGACCCCACCCCACCCCACCGACTTGTCCTGGGGAAGAAGAACATGGAGGAGGAGTTGTTCCGTGCAGCGGGAAGCGGGTTGCAGCTGGGGATGGGAAGAGAAGCGTGTGCCTTGGAGGGTCGCTCTTTCCACCATGGTTTCAGTGGGACATTGACTCAAGAACCTGGGAAGTCCTTATTCTAGCAGAATTGTGCCCAATTCTGGCTGCAACACTTGAAGCCCTTCCTGACCAGGCTAATCCTCAGAGGCTCCGTGAAGAATCGCACCCTCCGTCTTACGTTCTGCCTCCACCTGATCCTCGTTGCAGAGAGGGAGCCCGGCCTTCCGTGCTGCCAACGCGTGCTGGCAGTTCTTCAGGATAGCCCAAGGCAGGGGCAACTGGGAACGCGCTCTCTGTGTGGCACAGACTGTTCGTCTTCCGTGGACTGCGGCCAGCTGCTATAATGGGAAGCCTTGGTTTGTGGTCATGTCAAGTGTGTAGACTGTAGGTGCAAAAGGAGTTTTCTATTACCGAACAAGAGAATGCAGTTGGATTGGTGGAAGTTCTGGGTGGAGTTTTCAAGCCTTGCTGGATGGGTGCAAACCCCCCGTGGGCCGGAGGAGGAGATTTGCCCACTTTTGCCATCTTGCCCCAATCTCAAGTTTGAAGGAGAGGATTGTGCCCATCTCGTTTCCATGGAGCGAGAGCCGCGGCTGCTATAGGAGGGGAGATCCGAGTTGCCTTAGTCCCAGTGCCCCGGGTGGGACGGGGCCTCGGCTTGTAGCAGGTTGATGCTGTCGGCTCCATCGCTGGTAGGTAGCTGTATCATTCATTGTGTGATTTGTGCACGGCCTTCATTGTTCAACATGGGTGAAAACTGTCCTCCTGCGGAGAATCATTCTGGTAAGCGAGAAGCCATTCCCACATCAGCTATGTGGCAAGAACCTCAAGTGGAGCTTTGGGAGGACCAGAGCTGCTGCGGTCCACTGGTGAAGAACCAGCAGGAATCCCTGGCGGGAGGATTTGGGAGAGGCCACCACCGGCTTCCTCTGCTCAGCTGGTGTTGCAAGACACGCTCTGAAGAACCGGGCTATGCATCAATAGAAACAGCTCTCGAGGTGGCTCGTCTCCCGTGACTTTATTTTGTAATAGCCGGTCACTGTCTTCTAGGCTCATGGAGGACGGGCCTGCCGCCTCCTCCGTGGCGTAGCTGAAAGTATCCAATCATGACACTAGTTGGTTTACCAGTGTTTCTTCCAAGGAGACATATATTTTTAATAAACGAACATTGCAATGAACTCCTCGGTGGCTCTTTTCTTGGGAGGGGTTCTTACCTTGTCGGGCTTCATGGGCCAGAAATCTTAATGCAGAGCTGATGCTTCCACCACCCTCAGCTACAGGTGGACACATCACAGCCATTCACTGGTGCCTTGATGAAATTTTGGAATCCTCTTTTAAAACTATTTTGCTGGATTCTTTTGACCGTCACTTTCTACCTTTAGTGGAGTCTCTCTTGAACCAGTCACTACACAGTGAATGTAGGACTTGCAAAATTAGAAGCTGTGACAAGTGCTGCAACGTAGCATGGTGGTTGTTCACCTTGCAGGGCAGGTGTGTGCACAACCCAGTAAACGGCCACCTACTCATAGCAACGCAATAGTCTCTGGGTGTTTGAGGAGCTGCCTTCCTAGCTGTGTTCATGAGATCCTGGGCTGGGCATATGTGATACCCTAGATAAGGAGCTGAACTGGAGATCTGAACTTAAATTCTGCTCCATGGATGGAGCCTATTTTGTTAGAATTGCCTTGAGTGTCTAGGAAAGAATCGCCAGCACAAATGTAATTATAAAAAATACATAAGAGGAGATAAATACATTGGTAAACTCCTTTATTCCGCTTCGTGTCTGTGAAACGTCTCCCCCTGAATACGACCCCACGTGCCAGGGACCACCTGGACACAGCAGCCAGTTCCGGTTCAGCGAGGGCAGCCGGAGGGGGCCAGGGTCCCCCTCACTCTTCGGTGGAATGAGGTCTCTCTGCTTTGTCCAGTTTGTCCAGCACCTCACTGTAAACACTGATCATCTGTGGACAAAGGTCACCCCAAATCCTTTAACAATTCAGCATGGTGGGCTGGGGGGGGGTGGGCTTGGCCGCTCAGCCCTTCCATTGGCTGAAATACCCAGGAGAGCGGGGGGAAGCAACGGGCACAAGGACTACGAGATGCCACCTCTCTGCAGTTCCTTGGACTCCTTTCAAAGAGCTGCTTCGGGGGGTGGGGGGGTGTTGTGGCTCTTGGGGAAGGACGCCGCCTGCTTTGGTTTCAGGTGAGGTATTTACACCCCTGAAACCAACTTTTGGAACCCCCCCTACTCCCCACGTGATGCTAAGTCTCCGCAAGCAGTTTCCTCCCCCAGCCAGGCAGGGTAGACCGGCCGTGTTTGTCCTCCTCTATAATGGGCCCTTTCATTGCTCTGGGTGTGATTAAGGCCTCTACGTGTCCGCCCACCCTCACCTGGTCCTCGTAGCTGTTCTTCAACGTCCCCAGGTAGGCCAAGAACCGCATTCCTAGGCCACACCATTGCTCTGCCTCCTTGTACTTGCCGGCACAGTACTGGTATATTCCTGTGTTCCACGCTCGAGTCATAAGCCAGATTATCTCCACCTCTGGGAAACCAGCCTGCAGCGCCTGCTAACATTCCAATGAACACAAGACGGTTTTTAGGCCAAGCTTCGCTTTAATGAAACCAAGACGGGCACAAACACGTATGGCTGTATTTTGCTTTAACGCAGCCGGGTACGTGAAGACACACACACACACCTAAGCTGCCTCATTTAACTGCCTGGACACAAGTGGGGCCCACCGGGAGGGACTTGTTTTCATCCACCCGAGCCTGCGACATTAACGGGGCGAGCCAGGCGAATGTCCTTCAAGAGCCCCGTCATCAAAAGAAGCTGCATGATACTAACTCTGTTGTCCAACAAGGTCAGAGCATCTTCGAAATAGGCCCAGGGCTCCTCCAGCACACAAAGGTCTGCCTCAATTGGGCCGGAGGGCAGGGAAAGGTGGACCAGGCTGTGCAGGCATTTGCTGAGTGGGAAACACAATGGCAGGACAGGCCTGAGGCCAGCACCTGTGAAGCCCCTCCTTCCTGCCTACTTTGCAAGGCACCTAAACCTCTCGCTGGGTCACCCCCGTCCAGCCCTCCCCTCCCCCAACTCAGGGGACCTTTCTCAATAGGGAAGGTCCACTCCCACTTTTCAGAAAGAAGGTCCTGAGTGAGGAACGCATCCCTAGGCTTTCTTCCTCCAGAAGAAATAGTCAGCATTTGATCCACCACAGCCGTCCTCTATGCCTGTCCCCCTCACACACACCCAGCTGCTTCTCAGCTCCACTGCTTACCTGTAGGCGACTATATCCACTGATTCACCTTTCCTGAGGAGAGTCAAGATCCTCCTGAGAGCCCTCTTGCACAGGGAGGGATAGTGAGCAGGGGATTCCATGGCCAGCGCTTGAGGAAGAAGTCATGAGAAAAAGAGACACTTTTTCAGCTGCTGGGCACCTGCCCTTTGACCCTCCTACAGGGCTGCCGCTCAGAGGAAAAGGCTGCAAGCACAGCGTCAACGGGTGGGTAATCCCAGGAGATTCACTTCTGCTGGGGCAGCAGGTGGCTTCATGGCCTCAGACTCACGGAAGCAGCAGGTCTCGTTTGAAGCAGCTGCCTTGAAATGCAAGATTCCCCCCAGGAAGGGTGGCGGGAGCCGCAGGCCCGGCTCTTACCAGCAATGGTTTCCAGAGTCTTGATCTCCACCTGTGGAAGTGCCAGCACTTCGTCCAGCAGGCTGGACACTGCAGGAGAATTCAGCTTGGCACTGGCTTCAAATTCATAAAGCTGTAATATTGTATCTGTGGGGTCCCTGGGGAAATCCCCTATGGAGCAGAAAACAAGGCCCATTTTAGTAGCTCACCAGGTATGACGGGGGGGGGGGAGACACACCCCAGTCCGTACCGTTTCAGCAGAGCAAAGAGGTATTCTGGCTGGAGGGGGGCATTTCCAAGCCTATGAAGCCATTAGAGTGGACAACAGCTGCCTCAACTGCATGGCTTCACTCCGCTTGGAAGAAGGCTCCGGCCTCACTTCTCAGCTGACACTCAGGTTCTGGGCTCAAAGGGTCGCTTGAAAGGGTTCAAGTGACTCTTGCCTGAAACAGGCCTGCACTCCTGACAGATTTCAACCTCGGGGCAACCAACATCCCACTGCCATCAACTAAGGCAAACAGGTTTCACTGTTAATTGATTTTGGAATTGTAGAGATTCTAGCTCACCTGTTTGTTTCAAGACTTTCCAGATTGCTCTGCAGGACTGGATATACTCGAGGGCCTGAGTCAGCAGTTCAGCCTGCTTTGGAAGCCAACACACATTTCAGGTAAATTGCACGTGAGAGCATCCCAATGTTTGTTGGAGTGTCAGGGAGAATGCATTTCCTGTTTTTTTGCATACATAAACTTATCTATTGATTACCAATGCCTAGACGGGGTTTTTTTCCGTTTAAATGTTCCTCAAATTCTCCAAAGAAGCACAAAAGGGTAGAATGAATACAGGTTTATGATATAAAATGTGAAGTGCTGGAAGCATGACTCCAGTATCAAGTACTATTCTCATTTCCAAAGACAATCCATCATTTCTATAAGGCACCTAATCAGAAATTACACCAGGCCTTTCCTGAGGCACCAGTCCTAAAATACAAATGTTAACATTTATATTCTTTCAAATTCTACCTCATCAGCAGGCAGCGAATTGCTTCGGCTTATGTCCAGATCCACTGCAGCAGCCATGAGCAGGCACGTTCTCTGAGCGAGCAGGACAGCTTTATCAAGAGGGCAAAACTGGGAGAACTGGAGCAAAAGGTATCAGTGCAGTCATAATTAGTTCCTGGACTGGTCTGTCGTTGCTGGCTGGCTACTCATCAGCCGGCCAGTGACGAGACACGAAGGCGAAGGGAAACCTCAAAAGTAATGGAGCAGGGCTCCTCTCAAAAAGAACTTTGCACAAAGAACCCACATTTGCAACTGCAAAGACGTCAAAGAGAATTTAGGGAGAAGCAGCACGTACCTTGAATGATAGTATAAAGAAATCTCGCATCACTTTTAAGCAGCCCTCGCACCGCACAGCCAAGTTCCAAGCTCATAAGGCAAAGAAAATGGTTTGTCAGATTTAACAGCATCACCAGCGAGTTATGACAATTCTGCTTAAGACAAAGCTTTTTCTCTTCTTAAAAAGTCGCGGACTATTTCTGCATGGAGATTACGTGGGGATTCCTATGATTATGAAAGAATGCCTCTGCTTTTTAAATACCCTTCTTTCTTTGATCCACAAAGACACATTCCCCAGCTCCCCTTCTTGGCAGGTACAGGACAAAATGGTCATGTGAACAAGCTGCCTTGAACACCTGACTGAAGATGCCCACCGCTGACCAGAGCAAGAAAACCCGATTACTTGCACTCCTCGTTGTTTTGGATTACAGGCCACGCCCCCAGTGAGGTTCCTTCTGTGCATGAATGCAGAAGGGGAGGGGTGTGTGTGTCAGATGGCATCATTTTACACAGGAGGGAATGCATAATGCGTCTCTGATGTAAGTTCCCCCCCTGCCAAAGCATTTCCATAGTGTACTTTTTGTTTTGGAAGGACGATGGTGCAGGGCGAAGGTGGGTGCCCCGTCGTGGCCTACCTATCTTTCTGAACCACTGAGCTTCACGGGCCCTGATTTCCAGCAACTCCGTTTCCTCTTTGTGCAGCTCATCAAGTCTACGGTGAGCTGGAAGAGACTAAGTAATGTTAGCAACAAGGATGAATTTAGGAACATGGCCCATTCGGACTGGGGCTTTATAAAGCAGCTGAAGATCTCTTAGGGTCCTGAAGAGACGACGTTCTCCACTGCAGCTCTTGCTCTGCACTTAGTCAACAGACCCAAAGATCTAGCTAGTTTAATACCTGCCGTCAAGTATGATAGGAGGGACTCCATATCTTTAATCCTAAAATAAAAAAGTGGGAGTTATTTAACATTTCTAAACGATATTAAAGGGAGGAAAACATCTTCCCTGAACTAAACAAATAATAACACTGGTCTTCTATAAGGGAACAGAAATAGGACTACAGGAAGGAAGAACTAACACTGGCGACAGGAGGGTGAAAAAGAAATTCTAAATCTAGGCTCAGTTACTACGTTAGTGACAGTTCAAGACAAACACAGCTAAATGTTTATATCTTTCTACGCAGTTCCAGTTGCTATTTAACTTTTTCC